TCCCGGCCCCTTCAGAGTCTCTCTGAAATGATGCCACTAGAGTGAAAATTAATTGACATTATGATCAGATCATGATTAGATCATGACATTCCAAATCAAAAACGGCGCCCAAAATCTACGATCCAACATGGATATGGGTCGACTTGCGAGCGTACATTGTTGCGCCCCCCCCCCCCCCCCCCCCCCNTAAAATGTGCGTGGAAGCGCGCGCGAGTATCGCCTATCAGCTCGACATCAGCCAATAGGATATCAGAAACCGGTTTTCGTCATCGGAGACGGAAGAGCAGCCTCGCGTTATCTTCAACGTAATGTTGCCGAATATCGTCTAGAAGTGGTAAATAATATGTTTGCCTCAACGGTGCAGTCTTTCGTCGATCACTATCAGGGAACCCTATTACGTCATAAACTTCGTCGACTGCAGTGCGCGTCGCGCCGCTGAAGTTGGGAGCCACTTCCATTTTGCCGGTGTTCGTCAGACGCGGTTCAGTGCACACACCCGCGGATAGCAGGAGGAGCGGCCGAAGGCGTTCGATCGGAACTTGACGTAGCAGAGTTGACATCACCTCGGCTCTGTTTGGGCGTCGTACATCGCTTCGAAGCCCGGCGCAAACGAAGGAGGGACCCCCGAAACGCGTCATGGACCCGCTGCAGGAGCGCAGAGACAAGTATTTCAAAAGGCTCCAAGGTTCGTTTGTCTCCTTTTCTCGTTTTTATTACGTAATTTACTATGGCTTCGATAACCGGCGTCTTGTTTTTGAGCTTCAAGCTCGTCAGGTTGCGTCATCGGAGAAAAAATAGGTACAGAGTGTTTATTTATCTTGAGTGCTGGATAGCACTTTTTTAGAATGACACCCCCCCCCTCCCTCCTTCAAAATACTAGCGATTTTAATATCAACTGAAGAGAAATGTGTCATGTCTAAAGCATTGTACACAGGCTCGTGAGAAATAGCTGCATATTTTGCTTTACAGCAGTTATGTAACATCAATGTTTTTCTGACTTGTTTTCATTGTAGGTATAGCAACAAGTGCTGTGCTTACAAATATTTTTCCGACAGATCGCACCCATGACCTAAGAACATGACAAAATTTTCCCGCCAAATATTTATGTACTTACCTTTCCTTTCGTGCATGGTTCCTTTTGTTTTATTTAGCAAATTAAAATTTGCTTATCTTCATCCATTTATTAGCAAGATCTCTGTTTCCTTTTTCAGGAATTTGTAAATTAATGTATAAAAATTAATTATGTGTGTCTTGGCAACTGAGCATTTTTTAAAATTGATGATCTGTTTGACTCTTGAGGTACTTTTTTGGAGAAATTGATTCAGAATTTCCTTAATTTTTTTAACTATACCTAAGTAGTAATTTCAGCAGGTAGTTTAAGTTTTTTTTACTTGCCTGTTCCTAATTTGTTCTCTTGCAAATTTGAAAAAAAAAAAAAAAAAAAAAAACTGCATGTTTCAAATTTTAAGGTGATTATCCTTAGGTGTTCATTATTTAACTTCTGTTATCTCTTTTCATCAGTTACTTCCATCGATCATTCATTTTTTCTCTCCTTTTTTTTCTTGAATCACAGTAACAGGAACTTGCTACTTGGATCATGCAGGCGCAGGATTATATTCTGATAACCAAGTTGATGCGGTTCGGAAGGATTTAATTAACAATGTTTTTGGAAATCCCCACTCAGCGAATTCTGTCAGTCTTCGTTGTAGAGACAGTGTTGATCAAGTCCGAAATAGGTAACTCAAATCATGTTATTCTTTTAGAATATTATTGGATTATTACTTATTATTATATATATCAGAAGTGCAACTATGGGTTGCAAGCTAGATTCTCAATTACCACTTGAAAAAGTAAATTCTGTAAGCATTATAATCAAGAGAAAAAACATTTATGCTAAAAAATGATAAGTAATGTCGTAAAAAAACATTTTGATCTAACATGAAAATAAGTAAAAAAATAAATAAGTGATTTATTTACGAGGCATAAATTATTTCCTTTTGAAATTTAAATGCTTTTCTTCTAAAATTAGATCCAACAATAATTGGAGTCATTTGATACCTAGTATCCATTGTAATTTAGCATGAGTAAGTGATTTATAGCAATGAACCACCCTTTTTTTCGTAATAAGTTCAGCATTGTTCTACGAGTCAAAATTATTTTCTTGAGGTTTTTTTTTTTTTGGAAAGAAGCTTACGAAATCTTACGTATTGACTCGGGATTCATTATGGGCTTTCCAGGGCTTTCAAGGTAATAGAGTGATGCTCTTACGTCAGCAGAATAGCGATGTGCACATAAGTACCTATTCAATTTTTATCCAACATTTTTTATGGCTATAGTAAAGCACACATTATCATTTTGTCATACTTTATGCTCAAGCTCTTCTCCAGACGTCACTAATCCATTTTTGCAAAACGTTTTCAGAGTCCTGAAGCACTTCAACACAACTGCAGATGAGTATAGCGTAATCTTTACTTCTGGTGCTACTGCTGCCATGAAAATGGTTGCTGATAGTTTCGATTGGGCGGACTCATCCGCAACCACAAGGAGTCATTTTGTATATGCGCAGGACAACCACACCTCAGTATTGGGCCTTGCAGAGTCATTCCGAGACAAACCTGTGATAGTCAAGAGTTTACATCACGATAATCTGATAGACATATTTACGCAAGAGACTTTGGAAGCTCAATCAGAAATCTCTGATCCGTGTAATTTAGCAAATTCATTGTTTGTATATTCTGCAGAATGTAATTTCTCAGGTGTTAAATATCCTCTGGACTGGATTAGAAAGTGTCATGAAGGCTACTTGAATGAATACTGCGGCCTAGAAAGGAAACACCGAGGGTTGGTAAATATTCATTTGATTATCTCCAACTCCTATTCAACCATTTTACTTTACTTATAAGAATGCTCAGTAATTATCCTTCTTTAAAAAAAAAATGGGACAGTTATTGTCCTATTTTTTTTTTTTTTATCAAAGTCAGTAATCTCTGCTAGCATTGGCTCCTATTAAGATAAATATTTTATCTTGACCCCCTTTCCTCTTGAAACGCTTTTTACTGTTGGTCCTTATCCTTTAACATGGAAAAATGTTTTTTATATGTAACCATTGACCCCCCTCTCTTCCTAGAGCCTTACTTATTCTAAGAACAGCCTCCTACTTATTTACCATCTTGACTTTTAATTTATTTGATTACTAGCAGGAAACCCGTGCTACGCACAGGAAAACCCCACCATCAGCAATCACTGTGATTAGTGATCAGTTACTAATTGTGTTTCTGAATTATCGTCTACTATTTCAAAATTGGCGAGACACACTGGTTTGATAAAAAAGTAGAAATTAGTAGTATGCTGCTATTTTGGTCTGTTCTTCAGTAAGCTCATATGATAATTTGTAATAATCAAAAATACCCAATCAAAAGTTGGTTATTTTCATAAAGATTTGATACTTTTGTCAGTTCAATGTTTAATTGAAGTTAGCTGGTGAGTTTCAGCCGCGAAAATTACGGGATTTAACCAGCGGTTTCGTTTAATTCTCAGCAATGNGCAAAAAAAGTATCCATGGAAATGAGGATGACTACTCTTGCTTTCATGTAGTACATACAAAGTCCCTGACAAGATAAACTGGATTAGATAGATTAGAATTAGAAAAACAGACGATATCTATTTTAACTGTGGATGTACCCCTAATTTTCTCTCCAGAATTTTATTATTCAGAAATTAACATTCAATTATTTTTTTAAATTTTATCATTCATATTTTTATAGAAATTGATTATTCATCATGAATTTTTCTTTGCAGTGTCAAGTGGCTCTGTTTATTGGACGCAGCAACCTATCTCTCAACTAACGAATTGGACCTTACAGAGTACAAGCCTGATTTTGTTTGTGTTTCATTCTATAAGATCTTTGGGTACCCGACTGGGCTTGGAGCTCTTCTAGTCCGAAATACATCCAGCGGAGCGCTGAAGAGAAGGTATTTCGGAGGAGGCACAGTGAAGATAGCATTGAGTGATGGCTCCTTTCATGAGTTACGAGACTCCATGCATGAGAGGTAAGACGAGCTGTTCTAGGCAAATTTCAGTCCATTGATAAAACAAAAAATGTGTTATTTAGTGAATGACTAGAATCATAGCTTGCATCTAGGTTCAAATGTATACAAACCAAAAAGGAATTATAATATAGTACTGTACTACCCAAATAAAATGCTAAAGAACGATAATATGGGCATTTTGAGAATATGTGGTATTTGACTTCTAAAGGCGACATTGATCCACGTTAATCAAAGTGTGTATGTCTGGATTTCAGTTTGTCCTGCAGAAAACATTGAACTTGCAGCATACCTTTTTGCCATTTTTTCACAGCCCGAAGCCCCCCAAATTGATTTTAAATTAACCTCGTGGAATAATTATTTTTCCCATTTATTTGGAATGTCACCTGGAATCTGAAAACTCTAGAATTGACCTTTCGTAATATTCGAAATATTTGAGTAAAAATTCTGAAATCTTAGGATATTTATTTTATTTAGAAGTCAGAGCAAGGAGGAATCAAAACTCAAATAATGATTCTGGATCACGCCATATTTGTGATTTAGTCACAATAGAAGGTGGCAGTAGTAAAAGAGCTTGATGCAAAAACGGCTTTTTTCGCCCCCCCTCTGGAAGTTCTTCAGACTTTGTCTATTGATTGCTCATACTTGAGTGCTTCTTTTCCCAAATTTTCAGACCCCCAAAAAATTTTGGGGGGGAGCTAGGGGGGGTGGAAGTCAAAACCTGTGAACCTCGATATCTCTTGAACAAAGAAAGATATCGAGGTCCGGTTTGGACGAAAAATCGTCAAAAATTGCATACCTTAAGGTTCTAAAGGTCGATATCCCGATATCACATTTTTAAGTCAGCATATGTGCTTTTTTCCAGTTTTTAAGTCTAGAAAATTTCTTTTAAACAAAAAATTTCCAAAGATCTCAATTTTTTATTTGAACCAAAACCAGTTTTTTAAATTGTTCGTCTTTTTCCGCATCCAACGAGTGGTCCATTAAGCTGGGGAACCAAACGGTTCCGGAGTTATGATAGATTGAAGTTTCCGCTCAACGCGCGCCGACCGATTTTCGCGCGCAAAAAAGTCGGATTTGACTGTTATTAGATCAGATTGAATGTTCAAACTGAGCAAAATGCTTTATTAGGGACTCTTGAGGGTCGCTGAGTTCAGAAATTACCGATACTTCCAAAACATTTACGTTTTTAAAATTACAGCTCCGCAACGCTATTTTAGAGGCCCACTGAGCGCCGACCGGTCGCTCAGTGGTCCTGTCCGAAGCTGCAATTTTAAAAACGTGAATTTTTTGGAAGTATCGGTAATTTCTGAACTCATCGACCCTCAAGAGTCCCTAATAAAGCATTTTGCTCAGTTTGAACATTCAATCTGATCTAATAACAGTCAAATCCGACTTTTTTGCGCGCGAAAATCGGTCGGCGCGCGTTGAGCGGAAACTTCAATCTATCATAACTCCGGAACCGTTTGGTTCCCCAGCTTAATGGACCACTCGTTGGATGCGGAAAAAGACGAACAATTTAAAAAACTGGTTTTGGTTCAAATAAAAAATTGAGATCTTTGGAAATTTTTTGTTTAAAAGAAATTTTCTAGACTTAAAAACTGGAAAAAAGCACATATGCTGACTTAAAATGTGATATCGGGATATCGACCTTTAGAATCTTAAGGTATGCAATTTTTGACGATTTTTCGTCCAAACCGGACCTCGATATCTTTCTTTGTTCAAGAGATATCGAGGTTCACAGGTTTTGACTTCCACCCCCCCTATCTCCCCCCCCTAAAATTTTTTGGGAGTCTGAAAATTTGGGAAAAGAAGCGCTCAAGTATGAGTAATCAATAGACAAAGTCTGAAGAACTTCCAGAGGGGGGGCGAAAAAAGCCGTTTTTGCATCAAGCTCTTTATTTATTTGTAAGGGGTGTTTTAGCAACTTTGGCCACATACATCACTACGGCAAAAGAACAAAGGATTTTTAAAGAAGAAAAAGAGAAATGAATAAAAAGTTGAAGATGGAAAAAAAGAAGGGAAATGAGATGAACTATACCACTGCATAGAAGAATTAATCACGCATTATTTGGGCACCATGTATCACCCAAAAATTGACTTTTTGACTTAAAGAATTTTTCTAGGTTTGAGGGTAGGAAATCTCCAAGTTAAGAGAAATTTAGTTGAGGCTCAGAGGAAATTTTTCGAAGGAAAGTTTGTTCCAGTACCCAAAGAAACGAAATTTTGCTCCAACATTCTCCAAGTTTTACTTTAAACCTTCCTAGAATCTTGAACTCAATTTTCATTATTTTCCATATTTTTCTGCAGATTTGAAGATGGTACAGTGAACTATTTGGCAATACTATCATTGATACATGGTTTCTCCTCCATAAATGAGGTGACAGGAGGGATGAGAAATGTCGCCCAAACCACTTTCAATTTAGCCCAATACACTTACATAAAACTTCTGAAATTGCATCATTCCAACGGAAAGCGAGCTGTAGAATTATACACGGACACAGATTACTCTAGTCATTTGCATCAAGGTGGCATTGTCACTTTTAATTTGCTGCGAGACAATGGAGAATACATTGGTTTTATGGAGGTAAGACTATTTAAAAGCAGTTTATGCAAGTTTCGCCTGTTAGAAGGCCTCAGTTTTCAAAACTATGAAGAACAAAAGCGACTGTATGCCACTAAATTTTGGCTGTTAATACAAGGTGTATTTTGTTCATCAATGTAGAATTTATGTCCGATGATCATTTCAGTTCAACTTCTTTCTTTCCTGTTTATAGATTCATGGAAAAAGACAATCAGTAAAAGTGCATACTGAGGAAAAAACCAAGGTAAAATTCAAAGAAGGCCAAGAATTGCTGATTCAAGCCTTGAATGTTTTGCTTCATGACCAGAGGCAGTGCATAATTTGTTTACACATTACTCAAAAGTTTGGGACCAGAGTAAAAGTAGAACTAAGCAAGCTGTAAACTTGTTTCATGGGAATTACTCAAGGTGTGTGAGTAAATCCCTAATGGGGTTTAACATGTCTCTTTACGCAAAATGGAATAATATTTTTACCCAAACTTGTATTTTATTTTACCATCTTTAAAAGTATTCATGTGTCATTTTTGCAAGTAAAGGAGTGAAGCATACTCTTTAGAGAAATTTTTTATGAGCAAATAAATGTTTAATCAAGGTAAAATCTCATTTCAGGTCCTGAATCTGGCAAACCTTCACAACATTCAACTGAGGACTGGATGTTTCTGCAATCCAGGGGCATGTCAGAGGCACTTAAAACTAACCAATGAGCAATTACATGCAAACTTTGAGGTGAGAGGTGGCTCAATTTTCCTAACATAATTTTTCCTCTCCTGTCCTTATTATGGTCTTAATGACAATGAGAATCTTACCTAACCCAGTTCATGATTCGTCCTGGGTTTTGGGCGTCATTCAACTGGCAAGCAAAATATCGCATCAATTTAGTAAAAAATCTCAGCAGACTTTGACTTTTCAGTCAAAAATTGACTATAACTCCTGTGTATAAGTCTGACGAATCGTTTGCAATAAAAAAACTTAAAATTGCAAAGTTTGTAGAAATGAACACAGGATTTGGCTACGAAAAAAAATCTTGCATTTGACACAGCAATCGATTTCTTCATCAAATGCCGAGTTTTTTTCCTCTGTCAAATCTTTTTTTAATTTCTCTGAAAGCTGTTTTTTTTATGAATAATTTTTTACCCATATGCAAGGGCTGTTTTCCTCTTTTAGGTTGAGAAGTCAAAACCTGCCAACAATTTTTACTTAATTGATGTGATAAGATACTCACCAGGTAGACCATGCCAAAAATCTGGAACAAATCACTGTAGGAGCATTAGTGGAAGTTCAAATTCAGATTCTTAAAACATACAGTACATGAGGGATGAAGTTAGAATTATTTCAACAATTCTTTTTGAAATTTTCCAAAAAATGATACACTTTTGATAGACCACCCTTCAATTTCCCAGATTTTAATGGAGGTCTTGCTTGATACCTAGAAAGGTCTGAAATACAAAACTTTGGAAACACGGTACAATTCAATGTTTAGGGTCAGAGAACAGCAATTTTGATGAAAACTAGTCGAAAGTTTTGTCAATTCTATTTGGAGTCAAAAAAGTCATGTTTACGCACTTTAATTTTGTAACATTATTCTGAGTTAAACTCTGAACTCATCATCCTGTATATTACTGCAGACTATAAGGCAACTCCGATTTTTTTTTAAAATGAATCTTAAAACCAGTTCTTTGAGGTATTTAATGTTTACTTGTATATTTTAGATCTCAGCAGGCAAACAATTTAAAAAGTGCTTCAATCCATCCCTAAAGTTTTCCTTTCCAATGAATTAAATTCAAATTATTGTGGTCTTTCAGGCAGGTCATGTATGCGGGGACAGCAGAGATCTATTGAACGGACACCCAACTGGTGCAGTGCGTGTGTCTTTTGGCTATTCCTCAACGCAATGTGATGCAGATAAACTTTTAGATTTGATAATTCGTTGCTTTGTCACTAAACCAATTATAGAAAAATTACCTGATGACTGGGGCTTGAGGTTAAAAAAACTGAATCGATTTGTGCCTGGTTTACAAATCAAGGAAAAAATCAATCTCCTACAGAATGGAGCCTCAGAGAAAAAGGATCAAAAGAATGAGGAAGCAAATTGTTTGTCCGACAAATCTTCTGTATCATCTTTTCCCAGGTAAGAAGACAAATTTTCTTTGATTGCACCAATCCTCCTTCAAAGCCTAACTAACATGAGGAGCTGCTTCTCTATAAAGCTATTTTTAATAAATTTCACATCCAGTATGCAGTGTCATTACCTCAGAGTAATTTCAAAGCTTATTCCATTCTTAAATTGTATATTTCATCATGAATGGTGAAGTTTGATCTTGAGAGTGTATCTTTGACCAAACTTCATTTTATTTTTTATTTTTTGAAAGAGAGTAAGGCAATTTTACCCTGCTATTTCCATGAAATGGTCTCGAAAATGAATACAAAATATTCATGAGTAACTAATGGGTTTTCAGTTTTAGCTTTCTTCATCATCATTTTTTTTGGCAAAGTAGTATGGTTATCACGCAATATGCAAACCTCCTTGATGAAAGCAAAAAAAAAGTTGATCTCAGATGTCTCTTAAGTTGATGAATATGATGTGAAGGTTGTAGAGTTTAACTTCTTTGATCATTACAAAAATATAACCGAATGGCATAGGAATTTTATTCTTTTCGACACTTAGCTTGTTACACTGACTTTATTGAATCTTTTGCCTCATTTGAAATGTAGGGGCGTGGATACACTTTATTGGTTCAAACATTCTAAAGGATTTTGATGAAGATTTAACCTCATAGATTTCTCAAGAAATGAGAAAAAAAAAAAACACTAAAGAGTGGCCTGAACTGTATGTAACAAGAAATGTCTCAAGAAGGATATATTAGAGCCTCAACTGAGTGATATTCTTTCAAATTTTTAAGCAGAGTAATATTTAAAAAGGAAGCTATAAACGTCAATTTGTTGTTGTCTTGTTTTTTCTTTTTTATTCAGTCTGATAAAGTTTTTCATTATTTCACAGAATGGTTTCTTGCTCACAGTCAGGAAAGGAACCTCAACTTCATATCAAAAGAATTTTTCTCTATCCAATCAAATCATGTGCCTATTTTGAGGTTGAAAATTCATGGATCATCAATGAAACTGGGCTTCAGTTTGATCGCGAATGGATGATTATTGATGAACGTGGGGTTGCACTGACCCAAAAGTATGAGCCGAGACTGTGTTTTATACAACCACGAGTGAACTTGAAGACTCAACACTTAGAACTTCATTATAAAGGTGAGCTTTCTGAAAGCTACATTTTTGGGTTTCAAAAATAATGTTGCGACCTCTTAAACTTCTGCCTTGCAATAGGTATCCTGAATAAAACAAAAACCTTGCAGAAAAGACATGATTAATTTGCCCTTTCCCCCAATTCAATTTCTTTTTTAAAAGTTATAACTATTCTGTGTTTTTTTTTTTCCCTTTGTCCCAAGAATGAAGGGATTCGTACTGTTCTCAAATCAGTACCTAGCGAAAATTTCAGTCATTGACTTAAACATTATTCATGATAGTAAATTAGACTATTTTCTTGAGATGGATAAATATTCTATAAGCCGAAAGGAACAAAAAAATTAAGGTAGCTCTAATACAACTCCTCCTTTACTTTTTTTCCTATTTTTATGAGTAGCCTTTTGCATGTAATTCACACCAGAAAAAAGCTTATGAACTGAAATCCGAGCAATTCTAGGGTAAGAAATTTTCTATTATTTCATATTTATTCTCTACAATCTATTCAGAGCCTCATACATGTGAAACTTTTCATTTGAATTCCTTGACAATTCAACATCAAGTGAATCAATATAATCTATTTACAGATCACCATGGAGTTTGCCGTGTGCCTCTGAATTTGGCAGAGGAGAACAGTATTAACTCAGGGGGAAATTCTGTATCATTATGTCAGAGCAAAGTATGCGGTGACAATATCACCATCAGAGACTGTGGCGAAGATGTAGCCCTTTGGTTGGCAAAACTTCTAGATAGAGACAACATCAGGCTTGTTAGGCATATCCAAAGACATTCTAAAAATAATTCAGGTAAGAACAGTATTTTATAGTTACTGATCCCCTAGATTTAATTCTGTAGTCTTAAATAGCAAACTTAAAATGTTAGAAAATTGTAGAACTTTACTCGATCGTCCTGATAACTTTGAAATAATCCTCCCACAAAAAATATTCTGATTCAAATTTTTGAATGCCAAAATGAGTATTTCCATTTTCTTTGGATTTTTATCATCCTCAAATCATCCAAACTTTTTGACAACCTAAAAATTGGTACATTTGTTCTTGTAAACTGATAATTTCATAATGTTTACTGATCTTAACCACTTTGCAAGGAAATTGAACCCTCCTTTTTACCCTTTTATTCCTGCAGACTTGGGCCTCGTGAAGATTTCTTATCCAATTTGAAGTAAGAATTTTAATTTAGCAGTGAATTAAGTGGAATGACCAGAAAAAAATAATTTCGCCTGAATACTTAGAATATTAGGACTTTTTCATTTCAGGTATTAACAAACTCCCGCTCACACTATCAAACCAAGGTCAGTACCTGCTAATAAACATGGCAAGTGTGCAATGGCTAAGAGAGCTTGTAGCAGAAAGCATAGATTTAACAGAGGTAAGCACTGATTTTGAGAATTCTTGTATTTTATTTTTAATCGGAAAGTAATCAAGTTCATATAAATTTTAATAGGGTAAGAAACTTTGTTGAGATTGTGAGATCCCCTGACTTTTTCAGAGCTGGAACAAAACATTTTCTGACTTCAATTTTTTTTTTTTTTTTTTAAATGAATTCTCATTTAAAAATTCTCACAAAAAATTTCAAGCTCGGAGTGTTTTGAAATCCGAAAAATGCAATGTTCCGGCTAGAAGAAAAATTTCAAGGCTCTGCAGCAGTGTTCTCTGACTTTTTCAGGTTTCCCCCTCAGTTTTCGAGAACTTGTCATTCTGTTCAATGCTTAAGGAAGGAATATCTCAGAGCAGTCCAAATTTTTGAGTACAAGAAGTCATCAATTGTTTTCCTCCTCTCAAAGATCAAGCACAAAAGTGTTCCTCAGTATTTCATACATGAGAAAATAGGCTATTAATTGACAATGAAGGATCTATGCATTTTATTTGAAAAGAGTAGAACTTCATTCAAATATGCCCAAAAGAATCCCGGACTTTTGTTCATTTCCAGATTTGTCCCAAACCATGCATACTTCTCACAATTCGTCCAGGCTCAGAGCAAGTGACTGGGCACTTCTTAATTATATTTTCGCTTTTGTCAGCTAGAGAGTTAATTAAAAGACTTGGTCTTTTGCCCCTCTAAGTTTGTCAACTTTGACCAAATTTCACTTCTCTGAGTGATATAAGCTGTTTCCTATCAAGAGGAGGGTAAGGGAAGATAGTTTATTAAGTATGACATCATTTCACAACCCCTACTTTCAATTTATGTCCAATTTTTTGTTTCAGGAAAATCTCATGCACCGATTTCGATGTAATTTTGTCATTTCACCGACAGAAAAGCCTATGGAAGAACTAAAGTGGACAGAGTTAAAGATTGGAAACTTAAAATTCAAGGTGCTTATTATCTTTATTTCCTGCATTTAATGCAGCTGGAGTATTCTTCAGCTCTATTTTAATGGACTTAACAAAGCAAGATTTGAGAGTGAGGCATTACTCAGTAGAGATAGGGACTCAAGGACCTCTCGGTAACAAATTTCCAGTTTTTAACTTTCAATGGCGCAAATTTAAGAATTTTTACATAAATTTTTGTCAAAAGAAGCTATTATTTATTACTTAGTATCATTTCTCAATATCTTTTAGAGTCTTTTCTTAATTCAACACGAAATTCGCTCAATCCTATTGCAGAGATCAATGGTAATGACACGTGTCTTCGTGAGAAATTTTAGGGAAAAAAGAGCTCATGAGTTTGGGAAACAGAATTTGATGAACTAAATAATTTTTTATTTGAATCCATTCTCTCAATCTTGTTTTAGGTGGACAGTCCATGCACACGATGTCCTGTCATTTGTGTAGATCAAAAAACCGGAGAAAAAATTAATGAGCCGTTTACAACGTTAGCAGCAAACTTAAAAGGAAAAGTACAGTTTGGAATTTACCTCAGGCTGATAGAGGACTCGTTGATATCCCAGAAAATAATTTATGTTAATGATACTGTGGAAAATATAAAACCGTGATTTTAAAATTTTTACTCTACTTTTTCCTTACTTAAAAAAACTATCCTATTTTCAACGTTTAAACGCTATACATAACCTTTAAAAATATGATAAAGTCTCTTTTCAAAAAGTTTTGACATAGTTACAGAACTGATCTTAGAGTCAGAAATACACTTTGAACAACTCACTAAGCATTAGTCTTCAATTTCATTAAGGTCCTGTAAGGACTGATTAAGAAACATAAAAACATTGTTCACCTTATTCTGGTCGTAATATTTATGGAGGGAACCGATTTATCTGCTTATTAATTGCTTTTTGTTTCCTGTCCCTAACATCTCAACTGTGCAGAGTTGCTGATCATGCATTTTTAGAGTTATTGTGCATTGTCATCATTATTAAAATTTGCTAGATAATGCAATCAAATACTTGCTGAGTTTGAAAATACCACAACAAGCCCTGCCTACAGTTTCCAGGCAGGCCCTTTTGTCAGATTTGTGATTTTGCTTTCCCATTCAATCTTCATTAACTGCGTAATTTGGGCTGCACTATGTTTTAGTCAAATCCATCTAAATACCTAGTCCTACATGGAAAAAATTAAATTGCTGATATAACAATTCAATTGCTTAAGAAAGTGACTGCAATGTTTCACTGTAGATTTTACAACACAAAAATGCTACTTAAACCACCCCCTTGGTTAAATTAGCTCACAATAGTGGTTTATGTAGCAATTTTTTGTTGCAAAATCTACGTTGAAACGTGCAGTCACTTTCTTTAGCAATTGAATTGTTAAATCAGCAATTTAATTTTTTCCGTGTAGAGATAAAAATGAACTGATACTTCATAAAATTATACCCATTCAAATAGTTGAGGGAATTAAAAAATAGATGCATCAAATAAAGTGGTAAAAATAGTTATAATCGTGCTCAAATTTTTGACCAGTTAAGTTTCACACCTTGTTAGAGCTATCTCATTTGAAGCAACAATAAGAAATAGATTTGATGCAGGTACATATTTGATAATACCATGAGTGAGTTAAAAGATTACGATCAGAAACTCTTAACTGATAATCAGCAGAGCAATTGTTTGTTTCCTGCCAGTCTCATCAAGTGATAATCTAACATTGCAATGCTGCCAATAACCAGTTTGTAATTTATTCATTCAAAATAAAGTCCCCAGTCTGATTTGCATATTATGTAACCCACCATGATTTCTCCTTGTCTGCTGTGAAGCAGAAAGTTAGTTTCTGATGATAAGGTAAGAATACATTAAAATTGACACTTTTAGATCATGTACAGTAAGAGAATCATAAAACGAACACTTCTTCACGATTTTTACATCTCATTTGTAGGTAGGTAGATAAGTAAAGACACTGAGTTAACTTCCTCTTTATTCATGAGATCTAATGTCAAAAAAGGTAAACAAAGTTAATAATCAGACTTTACAAACGTGCAGAGCTTAGAATTGCCATCAACTGTGTGGTGGCAACACCAGTTTTCTGCTAAGTGCAGATGCACTCAGTTGGAAAAAATGAGCTTTAAATTACGGGGAGGTGTGATAGCTTTCACATTGTATTTACACCACATGGACACCTGAGTCAATACAGATTTTACATTTCTCCATGCATAATTGGGTTGAAAGGTTAGGGAACCAATTTTCGTGGTGCCATGAAATTTTGCTTCAGTACCTACACTTTGAAAATGTCGGACCAATGTTAATTTCCGTAACACTCTTAGATGTCAAAGAAAAAAAAGTGAGGTTAGAGAGCATAATCTGGTGTCAGGTGCAGAACCATTTTTCATTATCAAAAACGACTCTAGGGAATGGGTCCTTGTATTCATCGATGAGCTTTTATAACAGCTTCGTTTGCTGTGATATGCAGCTCAAACATCAATGCCAAAAATTATCACCTTGCCGCAATTTAAGTAACTGAATTACCTGAAGCTGAAAATAGGTACAAAAATTTGCTCTTTGCCTGAAAATTCAGAGCATTTAGACAGTAGGTAAAAAGAGAATTTGCAGATCCTAGCATTTTTATATTCGCACTTAAAAACATTCCAATGAATTTGACAAGAGAAAAAATTATTTTTGGCGATGCTAATGAAATGGATTTTAATTGGTAGAATGCATTTACTATCTGAGGTGCAAAGTTTATCTTACCCTATCTTCTCCCTTATCTCTTACTAGTCTGCATTGATCAGTTCCAGTCACAACAACCTCACTTATTTCCAGAATGGCGAATGAATCAGTTATAGACAATTTGCATCTCCCACTTTTGGCAAGTTATGAGTGGTGTAAGAGATTTCTTAATTTCCTGACAGGACTGTTTTTCAGGTATTTCAGATTATAAACTAATACTTAGTCTTAAGTACGGATTTTTTTATTAAACTAGCATAAAATTTAAATATTTTGTTCATTAAATTTAATGAACAGAAATACATTTCGAGCGCTAAGGAAAGAAAATAGAGTTGGATGAGTTAACTTGAAACAACCCAAATCCTATGGTTATGATGTCCATTCCACACATTTCTTGGTCAAATTTATTTTAGAGCATAATTTTTAACTTCGTATTTATCATTAATTTATCATGACTGAATATACTTATTATCCTCTTTTGGCTCCATTTGACGATAGGAAAATTCTCTGTATTTGTGCCATATTCTGCAGAGAAAATAAAAGAAAGAAAGAGAAGAGAAGAGAAGTCTCCGAGCTCCATAATTTTCATTTTTTAGCGTGTGACATAAAAAAAAAGCTGTGCTCACTTTTTTAAATTCTGTTGGCAATCCGTTTTCAAGGAAAAATTTCTGCTGATTAATAACTTATTTGCTCCTAGAATCATGCTCTATGTACAATCACCGGAAGGACCACAGTATCGCGTGACAAGAATGTTCATTTATCCAATCAAATCATGTGGATTTATTGAGGTCGATAAGTCGTGGATTATTGAATCAACAGGACTTCGATTTGACCGCAAGTGGATGATAGTTAATAAACGGGGAGTTATGCTATCCCAGTTGAGAGAGCCCAAGATTTGCCTCATTCAACCAAAACTGAACTTCGAGACAGGAAATTTGGAGCTTCGATTTCCAGGTGAAAATTTGCGTCATGTTCTACCACAAGTATTACTGTCTCCGTTATCTTTTCACTCACAAGAGTAAGAGAATTGCAAAAAATGTCACGTAAACATATTGTTCTTAGAATTTTCGGCAAGTGGGAGAAGTTTTAACGATCTTCAAATTGTTTCATTGTTGAATTGTCTCATGTGTTATTTGGACCTTGTTAAGCAGGTAGGAACTAAGTTGTAACAACCATTGCCAAATTTCATCAAACAACTTAATTTTTTACAGAAGAATGGTGGTACAGATATTCCTAAACATATTAAGGGATTTGCTCTACATCACAGAAATAATCCCTTGAAATTTTCAAAAGAATCTACACCACCGTCCACCTGTGAGAATAAAATTAATCAATCAATGAAAATTGGCATTGGCTGATGTGACTTACTTCCTTCCTTCTTATTGCACTTCATTTGCTCCCACATATGTAGATATATTTGTTTTATGTAAATCCCACTTTTATCCCCCTCTTAAGCCTCACAGAGAAGTAATTTTGAAAAACTAGGATACCGAGCAAAATAGGAAACTCAAGATTATAGGCAATATTGCTCCTTTCTTTTACTGGCAGTTTTCTACACCGACTCAAGTGAACAAGTAATATTTCCCTGATTCATTGCGCAAACAATTGCTTTACCCCACCCAGTAAACCAAGTTAATTTTAGTGTAATATATTCTTGATTTCAGATCTTGATGAGGTTTGCTACGTTCCTTTGGACCCACCAGAGGAAGACAAGTATGACTCTGCGGAAGAATCTGAAAGTTTTTCTAAAGCCAAGGTGTACAATGATAACGTCACAGTGAGAGATTGCGGGGACAACGTAGCCTCCTGGCTGGAGACGGCTCTCATGACTGATGACGTTAGGCTTGTTAGGCACGTTGATAGATACGCCAAGAAAGGTAAAGAGCTTTCATTGAACTAATTTCAATATGCATGTTTTTCTTTCAATATCAGAGTATACATATGGGTTGGAGATTGGCTATGTTTGATCAATACTTGTAGGAGGGAAAGGCATTTCTAAAAATTCCTTTTTTTGCTTTGCAGGTAGCTCCCAATAACTGACTCTGATAACCGTATAATGAAAAGTATCATTCATTGCAGGTCCGGAAAAACTACCACTGACATTAACAGATGCATGCCAGTATTTATTGGTTAATGAAGCTACGGTTACATGGTTACGAGAGAAACTGGCCGCGGAGGGTATAGACATAACTGAGGTGAGTAATCTTTTATGCGTTCATTTGCAACAACTGGTTAAAATAATGGACCACTAGACAAGGTACGAATTTCAGCATTCTGATACATGTATATTAACTAAAATTTTGCGTAGAATACGACGCGGACAACGAAAATTACCGAAATCAACTCCTTCCAAAGATATTTAATGATTCTTGATGCGTGAATTCAAACCACCCGCTCATCAAAACTCAATGCTCTGCGTGACTCACATCGTGCGCTAAACGTTATCACGACAGTCTCTGCGATAAAAAAATCTGGCAACCTCAATCTTGACGCTTTGGCTCAGCTACAGCAAATCACTTATAGTTTGAAAAACACATGGTGGGAAATTAAAATTACTCGATTGAGAAGCTTGCTGGAACCGTTGTAGTGCGCAATTTGACTCACGTAGAGCTTTGAGTTTCTTGTGAGCGGGCAGTTCAAATTCCTCGTAACCAATGTGAAATAAAAATGATAATATCTTCGTTGTTTCATTCGTTTTCGTTGCGCAAATTGTGCTCTAAGTGAAATTTTCGTCATGAAACATGCATCAGAATGCTGAAATTTGTACCTTGTCTAGTGGTCCATTGTAAGTAGGGTCTGTGTGTAATGCATATGCAATACAGCAAGGAGCGTTAACAAATCTTGGGATACCTATAAAAGGCCGTAGAAGCCAATTAGTGTGATAGTTAAGTCTTGGCTTGAACAAATTTGTCATAACAATGGATTTCACCGACCAAGTTGTCTTTTGAGAAATTCTTTGGAGAAGAAATTTTAAATGATCTCACGATTGTCAACATTCGTACGCAATACTTCCAACTGGGAGTCTCATAAGAAGTAAAGAAGAATGATTTAAAACGAAAGTAGAACTTGTTTGTAAACCAAGTCATTTTTGCATTTGATTTCAGGAGAGTCTTATACACCGATTTCGATGTAATTTTCTGATGTCACCAACCCCAGAGCCTCTGGAGGAGCTGAATTGGACCCAGCTGCAGATCGGAAACTTAAAATTCAAGGTAACTGGACTCTAAAAATTCAACAGTAAAGCATAAATATCGGCAAAATGTTGTAAAAACTTTTTTTGCGACAAGTTCAATTTGTATTGCTGTGGAAAAAAATAAACCCAAACATACAAAACCAGAGCTGGTAGACCTTTTAGGAATTTATTCATTCTTTTAGCGTACAAACGTAATTGAACAAGAAAATCTACAAGGGGACTCCTAAAAATTAGGAGCCAATAGTTGACAAAGTATATTGTCAAGTTTAAGCAAATGAAGAGTTCAATACATAATATCACAGATAAAGTTTTGTAAGCTATGCACTAATCTAGAGGGAAGAAATTGGGACAGAAACGTTATTTTTCTCATAGTACGCAATGCTAAAATGTCTTGATCTGTTTTACAGGTTGACCGTCCATGTACGCGGTGTCCAAAAATTAATATAGACCAGCAAACTGCAGAGAAAAGCTTTGACGAGCCTTTCGCCACACTTTCGACCAATTTGAAAGGAAAAGTAGAATTTGGAATATACATGAGGCTTGTTGAGGCATCCTCTTTAAATAGGACAGTCGTTCATATTAATGATGAAGTAAAAAATATTAAATTGTAAACTTAAAATTGATATATTTGATTCGCCTTCATTTTTTCATCTTACCATCAGATGAGACTGAAGAAAAGCGTACAAAAAAGGCCAGACTGAAGTATTTAGGGCACATATTGAAATTGAAAAAGTGGGGGAGAATTTTAATTGATTAATTGCCAGCAATATATATGAAACATGTTACCTAAGAGATGCTTGTTTCTCAAGAAAAACTAACATAAGTTTTTTCTGTCCATTTGAGAGGGTAAAGTTTAGATATTAACACTGAATTGTAGAAAGTTCTAAAAATAATCTTCAGTTATTGATTTTGAATAATTTGTTTCATTCCTGGTATGTATCTATATTTGTGTATTTCTCAGGTTAAAAAAGAGAAGATTTTCAGGGCACCAAAACTTCTGTAATAAATCTTAAGAGTATTGTTTTATGATCTCTAATAAATGAAAAGTGCCATAATAATTGTACTCCTGTTTTGTAGTTTCATGAACATATGCCCCTAAAATTCTGACGTGTTTTTGGTAGCACTGACATTTTATATTTTCAACACACACATTCAAATATTATTGGGTGAGAAAAATTGGCTAAAAATTAAAAAACAGAGGACTAGTTACTTGAACGACTTCTTTGACCGCCAATCCAGAAACTCATCAAAATCTTCTTCATCAGTTGATGAATCACTTGCGTTTTGACTTGATTTTGGTTTTGCATGAGCAGCCACCTTTTCTTTTTTAATCTCCAGCTCCAACATTCTAGAAATGTGTATAAAACAAAGTATTAGGATCAGAGAATGGAAGTTCAGAGTTTACAATTAGGTTTTACTTATTTTCATTAGTGTTGATGCTTCATCCTTTTGTCAAGAAGTATCTTGAAGCAAATAACTTTTAATGAGGGGGGGGGGCATAAAAGCACTTTTGCATACTTTTTAACTTAAAAGGCTAGTGTTTGATTTCAACATTGGTAGTTTCTAGCTAGGAGGGTATTATACTAATCTTGTGCATTTGATAATTTTTTTCTGTTTGTCCGAAGGGCAGAGGGGGGGGGGGGATTTCTGAATAACAAACTTCTCCAAGGAAACTCATCTCTATATAGAAATCTGTAACCAACATTGTTCTATGTTTAATGTTGAATGTTAGGCATTTGTTCATACAATTATGGGGGAGGCAAAAATTCAAGCTAAATTTCATTGAGTACAATGACAGCATTGGTCTCTTTTTGAGCATTAGCGGAAAATGTTTTCAATTTAGCAGAGGCCTAAAAGAAAAAATTCAGACTATTTCAACCTGGTTTATTCACCAAGTATTCATCCATAAATCTTAATAATTTCTGCAGGATTACTTTTAGGATTTAGACTCTTGACTAGTGGACTATGAGAGACAAGAGGTGCAAAAGAAATAAATTAAAGAAGGAGAAACAGGGTCAGAAAAATTTAAATTTCAGAAAAAAACTCTTAGTGGCGTGGGTCCCTAGGTGCAAGGCAGATATGCAGAGTCCTAATATTTTTGTTCAAACCATTTAACTTTGTAGTTAGTTACTTGGATGGCTCTTTTTTCTTCTTTTTTTGTTGAGACTCAATTCTGTTAGCATGTACTGTGAGGCACCAAGAAATGCTAAGAAACAATGAAAGAAAGAAGATGAAAAACAACACTATGCTATAAAGAGGAAACAAATAAAAAAATGACTCTTGACTTACCTAGACCATATTCTACTTTGCTCATCAATTTCTTCTATTTGACGTTGTGTTGTTGCTTCTTCATTGTCTTCTTCTATAATTTTCGTTGAAAGAAGCTCTTCTTGCTGAATTTCACGCTGGAATCGTTCCAGCTCCTCTTCTATGGGGTCCTTGTACTCTACATTACGTGCCTAGAAATGAAGAACAGAAGTTTAAGAATCAGATTTTAGGCATGAGCAAAAATGTTATCTCTCAGTTTTTTAAAAATTATGATCACAGATTTTACGAATATTTGGGAGTCAACATACTGACTCGACTGTGGACCCTCAACCTGGAGGGCAAGCCTTTGGTTATAGAGTTCTTTCTCCTGGACAGGCTATTTCTGTGAACTAAGTGCTGTGCCTGCCCTACCTGTTTGGCTTGCTGGTAAGAAGTTACCTACCCATTATATTCAGGGCTTCCCTTATCCATCACTCTGGAGACCTGTTCTCTAAAGATCATAGGCTCCTTTGAGACCTTAAATGAAAGAATTTGGAAGTTAAAAGTACTTGATAACGTGCATAACATAAGTCCAGTCAGTAAGTGTAGTATGGGCATGTGTAAAGAGTGTCTGAGTAGAGGTTGCTCAAACGAGTTATGGATTGGTTTACTTTTGAAAAAAAGCAGCAGGGGTGTCCTCTGAACACCACGCTAGGCGTCAACAAAGATATCCAGAGATGTCGGTCGCCCAACGATCTTTGGGAAGACAGGCACAAATAACGTTTTGGTGTTGCAGCGCCTGACAGTGTGCTGAAGGAGCAAGGCGTTTATTTAGTTGTCAAAAATTCCAAACTGGAGGAATTTGAAAAAAAAATAAAAAGCCCACCTTAGCATCTGCAACAGGATCATCAAAAAAGCCTTCAGGTAGTGTTTCAGGTTCTCCTTTTTCATTTACACTGTCTGAATCGATGTCCATCATTTTATCTTGATTTGCAGATGGTGTACCATTGGTTACAGGTATGTTGTTAACGCTAACTTTACTACTTGATGAATTCATGTCAAAGAAATCTGTGGGTAAGGATGCTGAGGCCGCTGGTTTTGGAGCATTTTTTAGGATGCCTGAAAAGAAAAGAAAAAAATGAATTTAATTCATTAAAAGTAATTTACACACTTTTACAGCAAGATAGAAAATGTGACATCTAAGTTTTGGATGAAAACTGAAAGAAGAAACAAAGTTTCCAGAATTTCTTGAATTTCCAATCCCCTGACTTTTTTTGCTTTTCTCTTACTCCAAAATTTCCAAATTCCTTAACTTTCCATGACCATTGAACTAAACTTCCTCTGACATTTCTTTTTCCTAAAGTACACAGACTTTACTTTACTGTAGAAAGTATGCTCACTAAAGTATATAATTTTACATTCTGGAAAAATGAACTTTTTCCCACTTCCTTGAAGGTTGCTGAAAGTCGATGACTTTTCCAGGTCTTTGTGCATTAATACAAACTGATTGTGGTTCGACCGACTAGCTGTTGAAACCATCAATTACTATCATTCTGTCCCTTGGTACCTACGTTCCCTGACTTTCCAGGTTTCCAAGACTGCCGGTAACCCTGAAGAATCAAGATGGCAGAGTGACTGTTTTTTCTCTGTCTCTCCTTCTTTCTTCTCACAGAATGATCCTTATACAGAGAAGAATTGTGAAGGTTTTCAAAGAAGGTTGCGGTGCAAATTTTTATTTTAAATCTAAAGCAGGACAAGAATTTTGCAGATTACAAAACCAAGATGCCAGTTCTTCTTGTTTCATCGCCTACATGATTTTTTGTCTTAAGCATTGCAGGATAAGTTTAGGCACAAAATTAATGCGCATTAATTTATATAACCTGAAAGCATCATGCCCTCGCAAGGAAAGATTATCAGGCCAATGATCTTTTCACAAAACAATATAGATTAGGTACCTTTAATTTTCTTGGGAGGATGGTCTGGCATTCCAGGCAAAGGTCGTTTCAGTGGGTTTGACACCATCTCACTATTAAGGCGAAGCCCTCTGTTCGTGTCCGTTGTACTACTTCCAATGCCGGCAAGTTGCTGTTTCTTCTTTGCAATGTTGCCACGGTGCTCCTTCCCATTGATGTGGACACTCCAGACATTTTCACTTCTTACGACTGAGTTGCACAGAATGCATGTCAGAGTTCCATCA